TTCTTTCATCATCTTTCTGATTGATTATTTATTACATTTGTGTTCTATATCCACCAATATAACATACTTTGATCTGTTTTTTACTAAAGGAAAACTTTTTAACTTGAAAAATCTTTTGTTTAGAGTATATTTTTGAAAGGCTGGATGTGTACTTTTATTTTGATCTATTCTCTTAATGGAGAAGTTTTTCTCTTCTTTTTTATTAATTGATTGTAAACATCATATTGCATTCTTCTTTTCATCAATGCCAAAAGTGATTCAGTAGTTGCTATTGGTGGACTTAGTTTTGAAGAGATTTTGTATCTTGAAAATACTTAGAGTTCCTTTAAGATATTTGATTCCTTCTTTTTTGTTATCTCCTGGTATTGTAACTTGAAGCACTTCCAATTTAATTGTATCTGTTTGTTTGATGAAATAGGAATTGATTGTGAAACTTTGTATTCTATTGATATATTATAAGAAACTTTTTCTATAATACAGGTTCCTTGAACTGTTTTCTTAATTGCTTCTACTTCTATCATTTCTGATATATTCTGGTCTTATATTTCAACTTTTTTAATTGATTGGATTTCCTTAGTTCCTATATAAGTTGATTGAACATCCATAAAAATATTATCTGGTTTCCTAAATTCTTTCATATAATGACTTGCAGCATAATTTTCTACCTTGTTTGTTAAGATGTTATATACCTTTTTTTCAAGCATAGGAGCTTCAAAATCTTGTTTCTTTCCTTGTTCATTTTTTTACAGAGTGAAAATATATTTTCTTAACATCTGTTCTTTTGTCAATATTTCAGGGTCTATATTTAATAGTGTGGCTAAGATATTGTTTAATATTGAGGTCAAGTGAATTGCTCCTATTGGAATATATAGTTGGTCTCCTGTCATACTGTATATCCTAGTTTATGTTGTAGTATTTTTGTTTCCTATAGTTATTGTTGGGGATTATAGCTGATAGCAACATTTCCTAATACTCTAAAGATTTCTTGCTCATGTTTTTTCAAAATTCTAATAATATTTTGCTCTTTTTGAGTTATGTTGTTATGTGAAGTGGATAAACTATTACGTGTATTAGGTTATTTTAATTTTTTGTTGTTTTTCTTTATGCTGATCTGTAAATAGGATACTATATCGGGTTATATAATTGGATGATCTGTGCTAATATGTTGTTTTTTCACATGTTTCGGTCTTAATGCTAATCCTGTTTATCTATATATATATTACTTGTTTATTGTTCTTAATATAGTTTGATTGATACATATTACTTCTTTGTGATATGTTAATGTATCTTAAGTTGTTGTTTTATCATGACTAGATTATATTCACTTTTACATATTCATGTTCACATGATATGAGTTTAATAGATCAGATGTTGTAATTGTTTACTATTAATTTTTACTGTTTGATCCAAGAGATCTGAACATTCTTCTAGATTTTTAGAGCTCTGACTTTGAACTGATTTATCAGTTTGGATTATTGTTTCTGAAATCACTCTTAGTGTCTAGAAAGGTGTTAACCTGCACTGGCTTGACTAAGAGCTTTGTGAAGTTGATGTTAGATCTCAAGAAATCTACTGTGAATTAGTTTGTCCTTGCTTTCACTTCTTCTTTAAGCAAATCAAGAATGTAAGGATATTGTTATTGACCAGTATTGTCCTTTTCTTGTTATCAGAAGTCAAGTATATATTATAAGAAGAGGAGTTGTTGCTATTGTTATCTTTTCTTGGGGTTGTTTCTTGTGAGAAGGTTTTTTCTTTAGAAAATTACTATAAAAGGAAATTTTTTAAAATTTTGAGGATCAGCAGAAAGAAAATTTTTTTTTGCAAAAAAAGAAATATATTTTAAAAGTAAATAAATTTATAATAAGATATTTAATATTTTTTTAATCTACAATTATGCCACAATGGCATGTCTTTATTAAAAAATTGAAATGAATTTACAATATTTTATAGATTTTCACAAAGCGACTAACTCATCTTCATACAAAAGTATTCTAAGTCAGATTTTGAAGACAATATTTCATTCCCCTAATAGATTAGTAATAATCTTTTTTTATCAAGATTATTGCTAACAGTTTGTCACTGTTGATTGCCCGAAAACTAATGAATTGCTAAGTTAAAAAGAAAAAGGGAAAAAATGATTGGAGAAAGGAGAAAAATAATTGAGAAAAGGGAACAATTCAAGGTTCACCAAAAAAATCTAAAAATAAAAATAATCTTTTCTCAAAAGGGATCTATCTAATTGGGATAGTCTTCTTGCTTCACTTGAACCTCAGAAGAAATATTCTTTTTTACCACCTATAGCATCAAATAATTCAATTCAACTGATCTTTCCTTTAAGTAAGTACTGGATTGGGATATCTTAAGAAAAGCATTTAGACCTTAGCTTTTTTCCATTAAAGCTTTGTCACCACTTGAAGAACTTAGGTAAGAGATGGAAGTTTGTAATCCACATTACTTATCACTTGGTCTTTTAATGTTATAGAAGTTTTTATTGAGGGATTTGAGTTTTTTTGAAGGCAAATGTTTTCAAAACCTTCTTTCTAATCATCAATAACATTATCGGAACATGTGAATATAACCAATAGAAGCTTGTTTACATTCTAAAAACTAATGTGTTTCATATCAGCCAATCACCTTTGGTGAGAATTTGTGCTACCAAAAATTCAGGATTAAACTGAGATAGGCAAAATTCCCCAGAAAACCATAAAAGCAATAGCTCTAAGAGGCTCACAAGTGACTAAAAAGGGAAAAATAAGCCCATTTGTTATCAAAAACCTCTATATATTTTTCGCTTCAAAGATTAAATAGACCTTTAGATACTTTACAGTCAGTTCTTCTTCCTTTGGAAACTTTCTTGCATTGATATCAAAGGTGTTATTTGACTTTTCTTGATCACTTGAAGTCAAGTTTTTGAGTGAAAAGGTTTGTAAACAAAAGGAAAAAGGTAGAAGTGACTCTTGAAGTCATATTTCAAGTTGTTTTAATGAAAGTATTAAGACTTTATTAGTAAAGAAGTATAGAAACTTCTTGTGAACATCTTTTTTATGTATGGTTAGAGGATTATCGGAAAGAGTTTTTTACTTTTTTAAATAAGATATTTATTGTATTTTATTAAAAAAGTTAAATCTGCATTATGTTTTTTATAATTTTTATAGTATTATTGAAACTTGGAAGATCAAATAGACAAAAAGTTATCTATTTTTGAAAATAAGATTATAATATGTTTTTTTTTATTTTTTTTTTGATACTTTTATTAAATAAAAAATTTTCATAATTTAAAATTTCTTTATTAATTTTTAATACTTGTTTAATAATAGTAAAATTAATTAGTATTGAAGGTTTGTTAATTTATTTGAGAGAAAGATTGATTTATTTTGATTCCAATGGAAAATTAAATTGATATAAAGGTAATACTTATTGAAATAAAATATTGATCAATACTTAGTTCTTAATAAGAAGTTCTATTCTTATATTTTTATTATGCCAATATAAAATAAAAAGAAAAAACTTTTATTAGATAGTTCTTTAATAAGAATTTTATAGTATAGTTATATTTTTTTTTAAATTTAATAATAGGTGATTTGAGGATTTTTAATTTATTAAAAATAGAAAAAATAATTGTCAAGTTAATTAAAAGTAGTTAATATAAGTTATAAAAATTAATTTTAAATATAAAAAGATCAAGATAGGATTCAGATAATTTGTTAGAAACATAGAATTGTTTATAAAATAAGTTAACTAAATTCTTTAAGATTTTAAACTTGAATTTTTCTTTTATTGAGAATTCTTATTTTAAACTTATTGGAAAATTATTAGAATTATCAGGTAGATCAGGAAGTTTTTTGAAAAAGCTTTTTAAAAAAAGTTTAAAATTATAGAAACTTTTTTAAAGTTTTTGCAATTTTTTTTTATAATATTGAATAATAAAATAAAAATTATATATGAAAGTTTGATTTTTATTTTAAATAAAATATTATCAGAATGATTTGAAAGTTTTAGAAGCTTGTTTTTAATAAGATTTCCTATATTTGCTAGTAGTTTTTCAAGTAATGAATTTATGAAATAATTGAAATTATATTCGAAAATCTTGGTTACTTGTTGGTATTGAAGAAAAAATAAATTATTGAGATAAGCAAAATTTTCCAGAAAACTATAAAAATAAAAGTTCAAAAGAGTCAAAACAGTTTAAAAGTGAAAAAAATAAGTTTTTTAACTATAACAAATCTTTATAGATCTCATTATTCAAAGATTATAAAAGTTTTCAAGTACTTCACAATTAGTTTTTCTTTCTTTGAAAACTTTTTTGTCATTAATATCCAAGGTATTACTTAATTTTTCTTGATTACTATAAATCAAGTTTTTGAATAAAGAGGTTTGTTAACAAAAGAAAAAAAGTAGAGATGACTCTTGAAGTTATATTTCAAGTTGTTTTAAGAAAAGTTTAAGACTTTATTAGCAAGAAAGCATAAAAACTTTTTGTAAATATTTTTTTATATAATCAAAGAATAAGCAAAAAAAATTTTTTTTAAAGAAATTTTTTATTTGTATAATAAAAAATAAAAATACTTTATATCTATTATAATATTTTGAATTTAAAAAAAATTAAAATATCCAATGGCTTTAAAATGTATACAAATAATTGTTATAATATATATATATTTACAGTATCTTAAATATCCTGTAGTAATAATAGTCATTATATACTTATATTATTTAATTTTGGTTTCAAGACTGATATAACAGAAATCTTTGTTATCCAATAACCATTTTCTTTAAGTGCATCGGCGACAGGCCTCAAGATGCTAGGAAAAATAATATTTATTGTTTGAGTACTTATAGTAACCAGTAAAAAACGAACCGAAATTGGTATTCCAAGAACTCTGTTTTTTTTTTATGTATTAAAAGTTTTTTAATTTTTATACTAGTTACAATTATAAATACAAAGATACAATATATTACACCAAGAATTCCATCCACATGGCTTTGACCTTCAAGTTTTATCACTTATCACTGGTGGCCTTATTGTATTTATTAATATACTCTTGCAACCTAGGACTTAACACCTGTTTTGGCGGCTCAGTGATTTTATTCGTCAATCTGCCCTCATCATCATTCTCCAATTTCTTATTTTTACCATCTTTCTTCAACGCAGTCTTACTATTCGAGTTTTCAATATTGTTATTTTTCTGTATCGAAGGGGCAACAACAATTGGTTTTGCTATGGTAGTATTTACATAAGTTGTTGGTGTTGAAGTGATCTTTGAGTATTGGCTTATCGGTGATGATGAAAATTTAGATGTCTCATCATTAACGGCTTCTTCGTCTATAATCATGTTTTCGATATTTGTGTTGGTAGGTGTGGTTTGAGGAAGTGTGGGTAACATTGGTTTCAGCTTGTGTTGACTAAACGTTTTTTTTCTAGTGAGATTTGTGGCAGGAATTGGAGCCGTAGTGATTGTTGGCATGGAAACTTTTTTAGGCGGTGAAGTGCTAATTAGTTCAGAAGGAATGGTTATTTCACCGAATGGATCTTTATCGACATCCCTCGACTCTTCAACTTTCGATGGAACTATGGATATTTCATCCGAATTTACGTTTGGCGAGGGACCTATTAATGGCACATTATCAGTTAAGACCGAGATTTTTGAAACATCTTCCACGTGGTTGTCTCTATTGGTATCTGTATTCACATCTTGATCTTCTATTTTCATAACATTGTTTTGACTTACAGGTTTTCGTGGAACATTAAAACCACTCTGTTTCGATGGTGGGCTGGCGTTATTAGGCTTCCCGCCTTGAACCACGGGCGGCGACATCGCATTATAAGCAGTAAAACCTAATTTCTTTTGTCCCGGTGAACCAACTATTGGCTCTTTAGGGACATTTTGACTGGGTGTCATTGCTGTAGACTTGGGGTGTTTTGGCGGGCTGGAGACAAGCTTGGATGGTTTAGGTGGTATGGGTGGACTGGCGGAAAGCTTGAGTGGTTTTGGAGGGATAGGTGGACTAGTGGATCTTACGTTTATTTCCAAAGTAGCGCCAGCCGATGATGATAAAGCAATTTCGTTTTCTACTGTCGCCGAAACAATTTCACTTTTGTTTACAGGGTCATACGTTTCAGTTAAAATGTTAGCAGGCGCTCGGACTTGAGGAGGTGGAGAATTCGTTGGAATGGGTGGAAGGTTTCGTCTTGGCCTAGGCATTTGGATTTCTTGAGCTACTGGTATAATTGGCACGCTAGTTGTTTGGGAGTTATCGTTGTCCGTGTCTGTCGATGCTATCTCTGCATTAAAAATGTCCTGACCGTTCTTAGCAATATTTACGACTTGGCTGACTTTAATTGCTCGAGCTTTTTTAGTATTGGTTGCATCCTCAGGTGGCGGAGGAAGTGCCTTCCTTGGTTTTTCCTTAGCAAATTTATCGTCCATAATTTCTGATCTAACTTCTGCGTCAAAAATACTTTGACTATCTTGCACAATGTTCATCACTTCATCAACTTTGATCGCGCGAGCTTTAGTAGTATCAGTTGCATATTCTGGATGCAACGGGAGTGCTTTATGTGGTCTTTCATCATTATTAATATTAGGATCTTCATTACCATATCCAATCCAAGAACCACCCCATCTAAATAATGCCGATAAATTGCCGATAGCCCCTCTGTTTGGAACAGGAGGTATTTTAGGTCTAGTTTGTTCAGCTCCAGGAACTTGAAGAAAGTCTGATTTCGGAATGTTGTCCTCATCTACAATGACAATACTCCCCTCTTCGTCTTCTCTGGATCGCGCTTTCCTTCCGAGGATAGGATCACCGATAATTTCGGTTGACTTTTTTTCGAAGGTGTTGTCTAGAATGGAAGGTGTTAGCGAGCCTTTTTTTATCAACAAGGTTAATCCGGAAGGTCCGGGCGGCGATGAAACAATACTGTTGCTTCGTTGAAATGTATTGTCCGGTAGTTTCGATGCGTTTTGCACCGGAATTGCAATTGGATTCTGTGAAACCAATTTTGAGGTTTGCGATTTCGGTGAGACACTTACGATTTCTTGTGTACGATTCAAATGCGACCATGGAGACGCCGCGGATGTTGCGCTTTGCTCAGCTGTCTCGGGTAATGAAGAAGTCATAACACTCGAAGAATCAGACGGATTGCTGGTGTCTTGATTTTCTAACCACTTTTGCACCTTCTTTGCGGGTTGCTGAGGTGCATTAAATTCATATTCGGACGTTTGTGATCCGGAATAAACACCAGAACCGTTAACGCCGTTACCCTGTGGTGGGGTGTAAGGACGTTTTTGTATTTCGCCCTGCTCTTGAGTTGAGAATGAGAGATACCTTACACGCTCTATTGCAGGGATATAGGCGTAAGGAGACGCAGGCGCTAACGGCGGGGATTTCGCAATCAACTTTGATGGAGAGGACGGAGACATTTGTTTTGGCCGACCAAGGAACGAAGATGCTAGTGAACTAAGTTTCTTTGGACTTGCAGAACCAAATACGCCTGATCCGAATGAGTTCTTTGGAGGTGAATGATGACCGTGGTAACCTTCATCCTCACCGTTTGTCCAGGGTAAAACTCTGGCTCCTTTTTTAGACGGGATACTCACTGGCGAGGGAACGTACTCAAGAATTTCGTTATCGTCCTGACGAATATCTTCAATAAAGAAATCAGCACTTTCATCCATCATGTTGTAGTGATTTGGAAAACGATTGAGATCCGTGTCGGTTACAGGGGGAGGTTGCAATGATGCCGAATGTGCTATATATACCGGAAGTTGCACGGAGAGGTCCTTTCTATGTGTATATTAAATTATATACTATTATATTATTGAGTGTTATTGAGAATGATAAAAATTAAAAATTTGATCTCACATACGTGAAGGGTCCTAAATATAGCGATACGACAACATAACATACAACCTCGAAAAGAGCGGTATTTCTTATTGTTCTTACATTTTTCTGTGATGTTTTTTACAGGACAAACTGTCAATATTTGGTTAAAGTAATAAAAATAGAAACCAAACATAAAGCTTACCGGCACATTGATATGAACAATAGTCGACCTATCTTCGCCACAGTCGAACAAAAAATCTTTGCTTTTAAACCATTCCTCACAAACAGTCTCACCCACAATCTTTACTTGATCAATCTCTTTTTTGACCTTGTTCGCTAATATCAAAAGCCTCTGAGTGATGGATACTTTGAGCCCTTGCACCTACAACATACGCACACGCACAATATATTTAGAAGAAAGGCTACCTTCAAATTCACGAATAAGTATGACGTATCAAGAGCGTACCCTGCGTTTAGTATCGTTTTTTACTCTAACCTTCACGCTAATATTACCACCGCTCTGAAATAAAGTTTCCGCCAATGTGCTCTCCAACATGACGGCACCACTTCCTCCCATCCACAGTTGCTTCATATTTACAGCTTCGACCGGCTGTTTGTATAAAGGATTATATCCATCCCATGCCTCAACCACAAACGCCTCTTTCGATTTAAACATCATATCTTCTTTGTTATTGGTTGAAAACCGAACAACTCTGAATATTTGAGTCCATATTTTTTGTAATTAGAAGAATGCCCTCATTCGATTGTGGAAAAAAAGAAAAGATGACTTACCCGGTGACGACGTATCTGAGGTATGCGCTACTCCCGTATTCCATAGAGCTTGGAGCGTCAATGGGAATTTTGAATGAAAATGGAAAGGTAGTCTTTCCCTTCTTTGCGGTCCAATAACCATTATCGGGTGGACCGTGTACGGCGTTCGACGGTGGTAAAGTTGAACTTTGAAACACCAATCGCGAAGATAAAAACGATTGTGAAGCTGTACATTCTCTGGTGTTCAATTCTAGAATTTTTATTATTCCGAAAAATTTGATTTAAGGGGAAATGGAAGGGAACTATTAAGAAAACTTGCAAAGACTTTAAAAGGGAAATTTATACCTTCATAGGCAGTTAACTCGCAAGATATCTCGCCAAGTTTCAAAGACTTCGAAGTGGTACTGATCAATTCCAACCTTCCGGTCAGTATCCCACCCGCTGTATAGATCGTTGAATCCAATGATACATGCAACTTCAACTTTGTAACTTTTGTTATGGCAGTCGTGTTCGGTTTGAAATTGATATTTGCATGATCAGGTGGTAGCATCGATGCAGTTGCATTGGTGGTCGTGGACATCACAGTTTGTGCGCCTCCGTTGAGGAAAGATTGAGTTTGAGAAAAAGAATCTGAATCATTATTATAGTTGTCGTGGTTGTTATCAGACAGCGTTGGATAGAATGAGGGACTATTGTTAAATTGGATTTTAGCATGTTCCAAAGCTTCGCTCATTATTGATATTATAGATTGGTGATTCGTTTAAGTTTTCGGATGAATCTTCCTTAAAGCAATAATTTAAAGGATATTTATTTATCAATTCATGGGATCAGAATTGAGTCCAAAGAAGCTATGCTATGCTCACGCAAGAGAACACAAAAAGCTAGTGGTTTTTTTTTTTAAAAAAGATTGCCTGTATAAATATTATATTTACAAAAATTGGGTATCCGAAATAATTTAAAAAGTCCTATGCAAGTAGAAAACATTCGAAAATTTGATTTGATCGCGGAAATATTATTTCTCAACATTCAAAAAAAAAAAAAAAGAATACTTCGCAATTTTTAATTCTTCGATAAATGAAGGAGTATGTATGTGGATTTATAAAACAAAATTCTAAAGATGTACATACGGATCACTCCTGAATTAAGGGGTGGGGTGCGTACATACATACATAGGTTGCATCATACTGTGGTAAGCACATACATTTTACTATATTATTTTTAGAAGTTAGCAGATGAATCCGGTCATTCTATAGGAAACAGAATTCCACCGATCACCACTTGTGAGGGGTGAACCTCCGAAAGTTAATTTTAAATTTTTTAATAGGGAACGAAGATGCTGTTCGGTCGCTTCTGCAACGTAATCCAGATTCAATGTCTACACGGGGGTAATAAATTCCGGAGACGATTGTCCCGCCGATCATGATTCATAACCATAGGTTTAAAATTATTTACTGTCGACTTAAACAATCATGAGAAATCATGAGAAAGAATATCCTTTCCGTTCGATGTTTTTAAGATGATATGCAAAACAGGATCATTTTAACTTCGTCATTAAGTTCAAAGGCATATACTTAAAGCATCATGTTAAACCAACAAATCGGTAAAATCGAACAGCAATTATGTCATATCACATGACTGAGGTCAAACGCATAGTAAATGATTACACAAATGATAAATTTAATGGTATTTTTCGGAACCCGTCTTTCGTATAATAACGTGTTAGTTGGATTGATATAAAAAGTTGTTTATTTTGATCCCTATCTTCCACTCTAGCCCTAATGTTTATGATAAAATCTAGCAAGCAATTCATAAAACATGTAATAAAAAAAATTAAATTTATATTTTAAGAAAATTAAAATATTGTATGTATTATATTTAAGAAAATCCAACAGATTATCTTTTATTAAAAATTATATGTTAAATTATTTACAAATATAAGACTATTGCAGAATTATATTTTTCACTAGATATAACTTAAGAAATAATATTTCACTCGACTTGAAATATATTCTCTAAATATAACTTAAGAAATAATATTTCACTTAACTTGAAATATATTTGCTAGTTATTTAGAACATTGCATATAGTTAATTATTATAGATACTATATAAATATTTGCTATTATCTAAAATAATCTCATATGATTTTTTTTATTAAAAACTAAAAATTATATTTTTATAAATAAATATAAATTTCAAAATAATTAAAAATAAAAATATTAAACTATTTAAAAAACAATTATTTTATTTTATTATAATAATTTATTAAATCAAACTAATATAAATGGTTTATTAATTAATAAATATAAATATAAATCTATTAAATAAATATAATTTTATTATAATGGTGAACTTAAATAATATTAATTAATTTGTTTTAAATTAAAATTAAAATCTTTAAATTTAATTATAAAGATAATTTAATATTTTATAAAAATTTTAATTAAAAATTTTTTTAATTTTTATTATAATCAATTAAAAAGAATTTTTTGAAAAATAAAAATTATATTATATAGTAATTGATATAATTAATTATTGTTATTTTTTTTTTTAACCTACAGTCAGGTTAGTATAACTTGGCTTTATTATATATATATATAATATTTAAAAAATATTTTGATTTTCATATACTAACTTATTCATTGTTAAAAAACTATTTCTCTAGATACAACTTAAAGAATAATATTTTACTTCTTTATTGATTTGAATAAATTCTTTAGTCATTAAAATCATTACCTACAAATTATTACTATAAATCATTCTAAATTCTGACTGCAATTAAGAATCAATCTATTTTCTTTTATGACAAATCCAATCCTTGATGATTTCTATATACTTCATTCTCTTCTTTCTTTCATAAACTTCTTATATTGAATCTTCTATGAATATAGATTCTTCTTTCTATTCTTATATAACCTATGTAATAAATTTATGCCCAGATTTTTTGATTTTTTTATTTTTTTCAATAATATTCTATTTCTTTTTCCACTCTATTACTTTTTTGTAATAGCTATTTTATATATTATTCTTGAAATTTTTTTTCATTTTATAATAAAGCTTATCACACTAGTCGAAAAATATTTATTCAGCATAATGCCACTCATATAACATTCGTCAAAAAAAACAAATAATTCAGCATATTAGTGACATAAATAAATCATCAATCTATTTCTGTCATATAATTCGACAAATAATTTGGTATAAATAAATCATCAATCGATTTCTACTATATAATTCGGCATATAATTTAAATCGTCAATCAATTTCTACTATATA